GAATTATCCGGCAACATCAACCTTGTTGACGATAACATGTTTTCACCTAACGAGACATTTTAGATGCCTATTAACTAACCCTTAATTTGGATTTTTGATCTCAGTCTGATTAGCTTACACATATTATACACGACTAGGAGACATTCTCTTTCCACATCCTCTGCACTTCTTAGTGATTTTGGCGGCTGACTTTTGATTTTGTGTATTTCCACCACCTTTATTGTGCATTTTTTTAAAAGACATATCTTAATTAAAGTCCATATGATTATTTAATGTCAGTAAATGAAAGAAAAAGAAATTATTTTGAGCTAACGTTATATTTTTATGAATTACAGTATTACAGGGAAACCAAAATATCGTTTAAATTATAACTGAATGGAGAATTTTTCTACGAACGGGGAATGAAGTGCATTTTAACTTCTCTTTTTTTTTATTGTAACAGGTGTGCAAAAAACCGCATGCAAAAAATTATAATTTTGACAGGATCCCTGCATCTCATAATTCTTGAAGTAGTGATTCGTAATTGGAAACTTAACTACCCTAACTTTATAGCTAATACAATTATTCTCTGATTAAAGAATCGTATGACGCTTTCAGCGCTTTCAGACACATAATTTTATTAAACATCTGTACCAAATTTGCTTCCCTACAATGTACCATTCACATTACAGCGCAACCGAAAAGTGAAAGTAGTCTGCTGCATGCACGCTTCTAGTCTGCATCATGAAAAATCTTGTTCATGTTTGTTTAAAAATTACGACTTTGAACAAGTTGAATTTTAATAATTTCACGATAAATAATAAAAGCAAGAATAATTCTGCATGACAGGATAGGTTAAGCTAAGTATTGGACCTTGATCAGAAAAATACAGAATTTTTATCTGAAAGTGATTCGTTATTGGCAACCTCACTGTACATTTTTGAGGAGCCTTTCTTGCAATACTTTATATCTCATTTTCATATCCACAGTTATTTATGTTGAATATACGAGGGGTGATCAAAAAGTTCGCGAACTATCTCTATTTACAAAACCACAATTCAGATCAGAATGAAATTTGGCACACAATAGTCATACACATGTTCTATAAATAGCAGATGTTAAATAATGCCTTGGTCCATGTTTGTGACGTCACAATGTGAAAATGACATCAGTATGTAGGTCACTTGTGACAAAAATGGTTGACTCAGTGGTACTCGAGCAACGAAGGGCTCTAAAGTTCAACGTATATCTCGGAATTTCCTTTGCAGTAGAATATGATAATTTGTACAAGGTTTATGAAGACAAAAGACTTACCAGAAGTTCAATCATTAATTGGATTGAATGTTTTAATGAAGGCAGGGAGATGGTTAAAAATGATGTTTGTTCTGTTGACCAGCGAAAGCAATCCGGTAAAAAAAATATGTCCTTAGTTGAGCAATTTATTTTGAAAGATCACTAAGTTACAGTAAGAAAAAGAGTTGAATATCTGAGCAATAATATAATTATTAAATCTCTAAAATATCATTTACTTTAGATTTTAAACATATGAGATATGAAAAAAAGGCGCCCATACTTTTTCCACATTGGATAAACGACGCTCCCGAGACAGAGGACTCGGGTTGTGATGGTCACCATGCAAATTCTGGGAAGGGATATCCTTATCCATCCATCCTATTGCCGAGATTTGGCCATTTCTGACAGATGGTCTGTTTTTGTTATGAAAAATGACTTGCATGGTAAGAAATATAAGACTCGGTAAAATCTTTAGCTTTTTTGAACAGACCGCTACGAAGCATGTCACGTGACCGCCTGGATCACGTGATTCGCGCATGGGCAGAACAATGGCAGATGTGCATTAAAATCGGAGAGGACTACTTTAAAAAATATTGAACACTGAAACCTCATTCTATTTCTTTTAAGGAAGTTATTCAATTAGTTCGCGAACTTTTTGATCACCCCTCGTATAGCTGCAGTAATTAGCTAGGAAATGGTTTAATTAGGTCTTCCTTAAGTCATTTTTTTTTTGTTTTTGAAAAAAGGCTATATGATCACTGACCAACTTTATGTTTCATATTTTGAAATTGCATGATACTTTCAACAAATCAGCACTTGGTTCATAAAAAGCTTGAAAAAAAAAAATTTTTTTTGCCTGTTTAAATTATACCCTAAATATGATATTTTATTAGTGCAAAAACATCACAACTTATTTGCAAATATTAATTTGCAATATTTATTTCAACAAAATATATTATTCAAAACTTTTTGCATAAAATAAGATTATATCTATTGCCATGATTACATCTGGTAAAATATGATAAAGATCAAAGTGATAAACCGAAAAGTTACAGTTTAAGTGCAAAAAAGTCAAATCAATTGCACCATTGCTCAGTTAGAGGCACTGACCCCCTATTTCCTTTACAATCTTGAGATATGCTATGTGAGTAGATATCTAAAATATACTTCTCAAAAAATCCTTGATATAACCAGTGTCAAGAGTGACGTACCTTTTAAAAGTGCCATTTAACTGCTACAGTGGAGCTTCGTTGATACGGACACTTCACCTTCCAAACAGGATTTGTGAGGAACAGTCATACAGATTTTTAGATTCCTCACACCTTTTCTCTCGAGTTTAACAAACCCCATTTGAAGGGTTTCTTATTGTGCCGTTCAGACAGATTCGATCGGTGATGGCCATATAGCTCAGTAGAGCACCTGACTAGCGGATTCAGGGGGCCCAGGTTTGAATCCAGATGATTTGGTCCATTGTATTTTTATGCCCCCGGATCGAAAGATCCCGGGGGTATATTGTTTTTGTCCTGTCTGTCTGTTTGTCTGTTGTCAACTTTAACCTTGCCCATAACTTTTGATTGGTTGGAGCTATGACTTTCATATTTCACACGTGAATTCCTTGTGACAAGGCCTTTCTTTGAGTACCATCATATTTGACCTTTTGAACTTGACCTTGGAGTTTGACCCACTTTTGCAAAATTTTATGAGACTTTAACCTTGGCCATAACTTCTGAACAGTTGATGCTTGGGGTTTCAAACTTTACATGTGTATTCTTTGTGACAAGGCCTTCCTTTGGATACCAACAACTTTGACCTTTTGACCTTGGAGTTTGACCTACTTTTTAAAAACTTTAACCTTGGCCATAACTTTTGAATAGTTAGTGCTTGGGGTTTCAAACTTCACATGTGTATTCCTTGTGACAAGACCTTCCTCTGGATATCCTCTTTGACCCTTTGACCTTGACCTAGGAGTTTGACCTACTTTGAAAAACTTTAACCTTGGCCATAACTTTTGAACGGTTGGAGCTAGGGCTTTCATACTTCATATATGTAATCCTTGTGACAAGCTCTTCCTTTGAATACCAACCACTTTGACCTTGACCTACTTTTGATAAACTTTAACCTTGGCCATAAATTTTGAATGGTTGATGCTAGGGCTCTCGTACTTTACATATGTAATCCTTGTGACATCACCTTCCTTTGGATACCAACCACTTTGACCTTGACCTAGGAGTTTGACCTATTTTTGAAAAACTTTAACCTTTGCCATAACTTTTGAATTGTTGGTGATAGGGCTTTCATACTTCACATATGTATGTGACTAGACCTTGCTTTGGATACCAACAACTTTGACCTTGACGTTTTACTTACTTTTAAAAAAAACTTTAACCTTCGCCATAACTTTTGAACAGTTGCAGCTAGGGCTTTCAAATTTCACAGGTATATTCCTTGAGACAAGACCTTTCTTAGGGTACCAACATTTTTTTTTTATCTTTTGGCCTGGATTTTGACTTACATTTGAGAAACTTTAACCTTCACCATAAGCTGTCATACGGGGGCATCAGTGTTTCACAAACACATCTTGTTCTCTTCTCCTGTTGTTTGGTGCCATGATCAAGGAGTGTCGGGTAAAAAACCTGCCAAGGAAGAGCCTGTATTGGTGTCTTCAGAGGCCAAGACCTTTAAGGAGGGAGGAATGTGGCAGATTTGATTGCTGGTGGCCAGATAGCTCAGTTGGTAGAGCACAAGTAATTCAAGGGGCCTGGGTTCAAATCCTGGACTGGTCCATCACATTTTTCTCCTCTCCCGTTACATTATCATGCAGTTTAGACGTGGCTGATAGTATATCAGAAATTGTTTAACATTTTCTTGTTATTGCAGAGAATGGAATCAGATCAGAGAAAAACAGGATCGTCTCCACTAACCATGGGTTTCCGATCCACTACTCTCACAAGGAGAGAAGATTATGGAGCAAAAACCCTTGCCTAGCAAAGATGGATCAGAATCAAGCATGCACTTCTGTTCCTACCAGTACACACTATGTTTATCGAATAATGGATGGAAAGACTGATAGACAGAAGAGCAGATCTACATGACAAACTCTATATGCCTCAGCATATTCGTGGACATAAAAAAGATTTTGTTTTCATTACTGCTTTGTGTAAACACACAGGTAGTTTTTCACGGTTGTTGGTTAACAATATCAATCTGTCCTTATAAAGTTCATTTGTATTCACAATATATGATTTACATTCTACATACAGTATTTAAATTTTCTTTTCATTTTAAATATCAAGTCACCACATTCTCATTCCTTAAGTCCCCTCTCTTGGTAGATTACCCTAGCTCTTGCTCACTGATCAGTTTTCTAGAAAATATTGTAAACCAACTTTTATTCTCGTGCAAGAAATTTCCGTGAGTTTCACGACCTACTTTAACTTGCGAATATTATTCGCAGCGAACCATTTATTTTGCTTTGTATTCAAAGAGAATAAATCCTCAGTTGTGAAAATTAATCGTCATGGATTGATTTCAAACCGACCAATCGCGAATAAAAGATGACATGAATAATAGTTGGGTTTTTTTTTTGGTTTCGCTTAAAAAAAAAATACAAAGGTCAAACTCGTGTGTTTCTATTCACAGTAATCTATCTTCTAACAATGTGCACTGTAAAGTTCTGCCACCCCACATCATTTTATTTTTCATAAAAAAGAAAAAAAGAGAAGAGGCCATAAGATTTTACAGTATTTTTTTTTATTTTAACTTGACACATTAGATCAAGTAGATTCATTTTCAAAGTATAAAGCAACAATGATGTTTACTGTCACATAAACTACAATTTTATGACTAAAATTGTAAGTTACATGGGTAAGACAGTCTGTGAAAACAACAGTTATAATGCTAAAAAGAATGGTGTAAAATGAGATATCCAAAATATTTCTATTTTGTAGAGTTAATGATAACATGTAAAAATCTAGATTGAATAAGAAATGTCATTCATTTTGTTCATTTGCAATAGACTACACTGCAACAAACACAAGACAAGCTATAAAGGGAGATCACCCTGAATTACAGAGATCAAAAGAATTCTAATTAAAATATATATACTTTTTCATGAAGATCAATTTCACCTTTTGCAATACTTATATTTACATAGAAAATATATCATTCTAAAAAAAAAAAAATCATGATTCTATAATTTCCCTAAAATCTAAACATTCACCAAAACCCACTAATCATTCAAAATTTTTTACACTGTCTACTTCAATAAACTTTACTAAATTTCCCTTTATAGCCAATAAAAATTTACTAGATAAAAATGAGCACATTTAAAATCATCAAAGAAATAATATTTTTATTTTAAAAATATCTTATTGTAAAAGTTATAAATTAATATTAAAAGTGAATTTTACGAAATGACAATGAACATGAAAGAAGAAAAAGAAATTGGAACAACCTTTTGCGTAGACATCACATGGTGATTAAAAAAATGACTATACAAGTAAGACGGCTGTACACAGGTACATGTAAAATTTTGGTTTCCAGAACACAAATTCTACAGATATTGTTACAATAATATTGTCATTCATAATGTACAAAGCTGGACAAATATGTACAGAATCCAGCCAAAAAAAAAAAAAAAAGAGTATTTGATACTCCCCAAGTCAATTATTATAAATATAATGTCAAGAATTTTATTCTTTGATTCAGCCATAATAATACCCCTGTGAATCTTTAAATAATAATGATCTATTTTGCAACCGCCACTAAATTATGAGGAAGAGCTTTGAAGTGCTAGCAAAATAAGTCATTCATGCTTGTGGATTTGAGATGGCGCAATCTTTTTTGTTTCTTCCGACACAATTTAGTTTTGGTAATACAAAATATGCTGCCTATATACAGGGCAATTTCTAATGGCATCCAACTTCTACATGTATGTACATCTATGCGTTGTGTATAACTTGACCCTATCGAGTCACACAGCTAAGAATATTTGTTCCATTAATGTAGTGAGTATGATACTTTACATTCATTGACAAGGATTCAAAATTATGTACATCCCCAAGAAATAAATAAGATATGATGAACAATCTCTTTAGCTGTGAACTATTATGGGATAATAAATGCTACCAAAGCAGATTGCACACACAATAATGTACAAGCACACAGATTTACATCAATGTATACACAATACAGTGTATATACATCCTGTATCTCTCTGTCAATAATCCTCATTGCATAGGTCAATCCAAACAATTAACAAGGTACACAAACAACTAACATGAAAGCCATTTGTAGATACATAGACCAGCCATTTTTGCAAATACATGTATAATAAAACATAAATAATTGCCATGTCTTCTTCAAATTATGCATGTCCTCATCACAAACACTAGTATTAAGCAAAGGCAAACAGAGGACAGATAGTTGGAAAACTGATCCCATTCTATAAATTTCGAAATACTGTGTTAATGCAAACAAGAAGAAAAACACAAACAGAGAATTAACAAGATCCACAGTCATTTGGTAAATATAGTATGGCACTTCCTTCTTTGAATTATGAACGAGAACATATTCTAAATATATGCTTCAGCTGCCCATGTCACTTCATTCAATTTCAATGCAAGAATTGAGAATTTTAATCATTTCATAAATTCTTAAGAGAATTTATTTTCTTTAAAGACTTTTTTTTAGCAAGAGTGGACCAGTTCCTTTCACAACACTAAAATTGTAAATGTAGTAAATTGTTCATAAATTTAGAAAAAAACTACTGATTATATTAAAATTCATTTCTCTTAATAGATCCCCCCACCTTATGGCAGCCCTCAGTTCAAATGGCAATATAATGGCATAAAGCATTTAAAGTCTACCACTTTTATTACCAAGTAGACCCAAAGCACCTTTATTAACAAATAAGTTTTTGAGTCAGCAGAATAAGTGTTAATATTACAAGAATCCATTTGTGGCCTACTTCTTTCTCTCTCTCTCTCTCTGGTATTCAGGGCTATTTGAAAAACTGTCTAGTGGAGTTTCTTGGTTATTACAGCAGTGATGGTTTCTTTGGCACAGCTGTTCAGACATCAAGAACATGTGGTTTTTTCTGTTGTCGTTTCTTGTCCAGGAGATATGACACATCCAGCCTCTGTTTCTTTGGGGCTTGATCCAGAAGTTTTAATGCAATAGCATTTATGTGTTCTGTCTTTTCTCTTTTCTATTAACACAAGACACTTCCATTAGCTACAGAATATGTATCTTTTTCCTAACATGTAAACCTTGTTGCAAGATTATAGAAATTGTAGATAAAATAATCTTCAAAGCATAAATTAACAAGACATGAACACTTTAAAATTACATGTGCAGAAGAATGTGTGTGTGATTTGTTGGACCACATTGCTAACCTCACTTTGGTTAGAGATAAGCAATCAGTTCAGTACTAACAAGAGGCCCAGGGGCCACATCGCTCACCTGAGCACTATGGCTAGGAAAAAGCAGAAATCAGTTCAGTCTTGAAAGGTTGAAAAGTTTGAATAAAAAAGTGGTTCGGGGGAGGGGGGGGGGGGGTGTCATAAATTGAACAAATTTGAATCTACATTATCTGAGGATGTTTCCATTTAAATATGACCAATCATGGCTTTGCTGTTCTTGAGTAGAAGATTTTTAAAGATTTAACCTATGTATTCCTATGTAAAACTTTGATCGCCCATTGTGGCCCCACCCGACCCCCGGGGGTCATGATTTGAACAAACTTGAATCTACACTACCTGAGGATGCTTCCATGTAAGTATGACCAATCATGGCTTTGCTGTTCTTGAGAAGAAGATTTTTAAAGATTTTTCCTATATATTCCTATGTAAAACTTTGATCACCCATTGTGGCCCCACCCGAGCCCCGGAGGTCATAATTTGAACAAACTTGAATCTACACTACCTGAGGATGCTTCCATGTAAATATGACCAATCATGGCTTTGCTGTTCTTGAAAAGAAGATTTTTAAAGATTTTTCCTATATATTCCTATGTAAAACTTTGATCGCCCATTGTGGCCCCACTCGACCCCCGGGGGTCATGATTTGAACAAACTTGAATCTACACTATCTGAGGATGCTACCATATAAATATGACCAATCATGGCTTTGCTGTTCTTGAGAAGAAGATTTTTTAAAGATTTTTCCTATATATTCCTATGTAAAACTTTGATCGCCCATTGTGGCCCCACCCGACCCCCAGGGGTCATGATTTGAACAAAATTGAATCTACACTACCTGAGGATGCTTCCATTTAAGTTTCATATTTTCAAGCACAGTGGTTCTTGAGAAGAAGATTTTTTAATGATGCCATTAATTTTTCACGAATTCTTAATTATCTCCCCTTGGAAGAAGGCGTGGCCCTTCATTTGAACAAACTTGAATCCCCTTTACCCAAGGATACTTTGTGGCAAGTTTGGTTGAAATTGGAGAAGAAGATGAAAATGTGAAAAGTTTACAACAACGACAACGCCAACGACGACGCCAGACAACGGACAAATTTAGATCAGAAAAGCTCACTTGAGCCTTTGGCTCAGGTGAGCTAAAAAGTTTAAATATACGTTCCCACCCTAGTTCCCTGGAAGTTGGGGGTGGGGGGTGTTAATGATTTGAAAAACTTGCTTCCATTTAAGAAATGAATTTAATTTTTTAAGATTCCTGAGGACATGAACTACGATGCTTCACGTCAGCATATTTCATGAAGCGTGTTAGCTTCCTACCCTTTTTTGTCTTTTTTTGTTATTTTCCCCTTGCCTTTCATTCGAAACCCTTAAATTCCCTCCACCAAAAGATACTTTGTGCCAAATGTGGTTGAAATTGACCATGTGGTTCTGGAGGAGGAGATAAGAATGTGAAAAGTTTAAAATGACAACAGACAAATTATGGTTAAAAAGGCAGACTTGAACGGCTTGGATAAGCTTATAACATTTTGACAATTCAGAGAGGATGCTGACAAAGCTTATACCTTTTCTTCCTCTATTTTGACCATCATTTCTCTTTGCTCTTCTGTTTTGGCACTGTCTTGTAAATGCTCCTTTATTGTTTTTTTGCGTTTGGGAATATCTGACTGTGAACGCTCCTCCCAGGCAGTCTTGCGTTTGTATTGCTCCGGTACTTCATGGGGCTGAAACAAGTACTTACAAAATAACTACAGGTATCTACATTAAGTATAGATACTTCCTTTCAGAAATCCCAGTGGCAACTTGCCTAACATTTCCAATCATTTTTCAGAGATAATAGTCTGAATTGACAGTACTACACTTAACAGTTTATGTTTGGAAAGAGGCTTACAGAGTATGTCCGCTTTGGGTTCAGTCTCTTCTCATACTTGTCAAAACAGTAGGATTTTGTATTGATGACATACCTGTAATTTAACATGTATCTAATAAAAAAAACTTGATTTTATAGATCTTACAGAAAATGAAAATTTAATAACAAGGAAACAAATATCTCATGTAAAAAAGTAAAAATAGAAGAAAGACATTAATTTGTGCACAGGAAAAATACATTGATCCTTTTTGGTCAAAGAGAAAAACCAATGATGTTTCATATGCAGTAAAAATGCCAGACTCACGGGTGTTTAGATATTTTATAGAAGAGATGAGCAGTCTTGTCCATTCTGTATTCACAAATAAAAATATCCTGTTCACGTGTTCCTTTGGGACGTCCCTTACAGAAAGTATTCAAATCCATCACACAACTGCTCCCCACAATTGCATCAAATGGGATGATTTCATAAATAGGCATTCTGAATACCTGAAAATGTACAGACATACTTGTTACCCTAAAAAGATATAAATCTAAATTTTCCATTCTTTCTAAGGAGCACTTATTTAACTGCTTTGTATCCTACATTCAATTTTTGAATAATCTTGATTGCAAGAGCAAAGAGTAACCTCATTGGGAAAGAATTTTCTGGACGGCTCATGGAATGTTTCATGAGGTCTGTAGTAGTTATGACCAAAGGCAAAGTTTCTTCCACTGAAAGAGAACAATGAAAAAAAGTCTAGGCTTTAATCTTGTGAATTATCTCCTTCCTCCCCACAAAGAGTATGCCTATTCTATGAAGTCAAACATCTATGGTTGAATTTTTTTTTCTCTTTACATGATTGAGTATATATGCTTACTTTTCATCTTTCCACAAACGTTCAATGCGGAAGATATCAAGCTTATCCTGCCCTATCTCAGAGATGACTCTGTATGAGGTTTTGACAGAATCGATGGGAATGCGATCCTCTGGTTTGGGCACCTCTCGTAACACATACACACAATCTCCCACACGAATCTGAATTTCATCCCTCATCAGTGTCATGTAATAGGTCCATCCATCTGTAGCATCATCTGGTTGAGGGTCAGCCAGTATCTCCTAATCATACAAGAAATATATCATTCTTCATTTACAATATGAGCTTTTCATAATTAATACCTGATGAAGACTTTCAGGTCTAAATGAGGCCCATCTTGGCTTTGTTGTTCTTCATTAGAAAATTCTTATAATTTTTTTTCTCTCTTATTTCCAGGATTTTTTTTTAAACCTCAAATTATGACCCAAACCTAGTCTGAAGAGGTAAAGACTTTCTTGTAACTGAACTTTTGCACACCTTTTTCACACTCAACTTATCGTAATGTTAATTGTTGTAAAAACATTAGCCATGCAGAATGTTTCAAGGCAGTTACCTCCAAACAAGTGTCCCTTATTAATGTTTATCTCAAAGTTGACCTTCCTTTGATGCATTTATTATAAAGCTTGAAGAATTTAAGTTTATATGGAACATTACTTCAATGAGAACTCCTTCAGAATCTCATTTATTATGAGAATTTAGAGAGTTGGAAATAAAAAGGAATAACTTATGATCAATTTTGCAGAGTTGTTCAGTTGCAAGGGACCACGAAAAGAAGTAATTTATTCACGTCAGGAATAACTTCTGTTTTTATTAGGGGTGGCAATTTGTAACCGGTTAACTGACTAATCTGTCGGAACGATGATAATCGCTTAGAAAATCTCTAATCGGTTAGTTGGAAAAAATTAAAATATAGGTAAATTTCTTTAGAATTCCATTTACATGGTAAAAAAAATAAATATCTGAATGTTGATGATTATAGCGTTTTAACACGTTTATTATGTTCCCCAAACGAAGTTTGGGAACATATTGTTTTTACTGCTTCTTCTTCTTCTTCTTCTTATTATTTTTTTTTTCTACTTTCTTCTCCGGTACTTTTTTGTCCCGAAGTGTTCTCATAGAACCACTCATCCAATTGACATGAACCATTTATTGTTAATAGGCATGTTGTGTAGGTGTTCGGAACGAAGGTCATTTTGCGCACACATGCGCGCGCGTGCAATGAGTGAAATGACTGATATACTTGATGAAGCCGTAACTTTTATATTTCTTGATGAATTGCTTTGAAACTCAAAATATAAAGATATATTAGTAGTCTAGACAAGACAACATGGGCAAATTAGCGTGAACTCACACGCATGCATGTGCGCTCTTCTCTGATTGGCTGATACAAAATTCTCAATAATTTCCTTGTTTTTTGACAAAATACTTTGAAATTTAGAATACAAGTATATATTATAAGGTGCTACAACATGTTATATAGGAAATTTCTTGAAAACACGCACATGCAGGTGTGCTGCAATCTGATTGGTTGAAACTTTAAATGTCTATAACTCCCTTGGTTTTCAATAAAACAGGATGAAATTAACGACATGGATAGGCACATAGAGCTCCTACATTATGATACTATCAAAATTGAATGCAAGGCCATGCATGCGCGTATGCTGAATTCTGATTGGCTAATACTTAAAGGGTTACATCTCTCTTATTTTTCAATGAGATTCTTTAATATTTAACACAAATGTATGTATTGTGAGACACTATAAGAAAATTAATGTGAAAAATGTAGAAAACATGTGCAAGCACATGCGCTGAAATTTGATTGGCTAATACCCATATGGCTATATCGGAGTAGTTTTCCAATGAAATACCCTTAAAAATAAAGTGTCCATCTATATTACAAAAGTATTGTCTAATTTATTGAAGCTTGTAGGGAATGGGAATCATAAGGGATTGGGGAGCCGTTTGGGGAACATCTGTAACGGTTCCCGTTACAATTAGCACTAGTTTCTACTGTTTTGGAGATAATTAATTCAGGATCTCAGGATTAAGATTGGTAATTGATCAGTTTGATCAATTTTTCAATAAATAATAATTTATCAGTAATCAATATAACTATATTACAAGAGGCCCAAGGGCCTTAACGGTCACCTGAGTATAATACAACAATTTAGAGGTTAAATACACTGATAGTTGAAGCTTTGTTGCCCTAAAGCAAGAGAAGTAGGAAGATCAGGATCAACAAAATAATTAGTCTAGTATTCAGTATCAACTCATAAATTAAGTTCTAATCTGTCCCCCACTTAACACTATGCAGACTATTAACAAACTATTAGTGCTTCTGTACTATTTTGAAACCCATATTAAGACCTCTAGCATTGACCTCTCTTATGGTCTTTGAAGAACTCTTAATAAGATAAGTTGTTTTTGTCTCATTTTTATTTATCTATTACTTACAGGTCTACCTGTTTATTAAAACTAAGAAAGTACTTTTTTAATTATACGATAAACATTCTTGCATAATTATCTTATTCTATTAACCTTTCAAATACATTATTTACAGTGATTAATTATCAAAGGTGAATGGAAAAGGGGAATAACTTCTCTCAGTAGAATACAAATTAATAGAGCCCTGCCCAGGACCAGAATGCTTAGACCAATGGTGCAGATGTTTAAAAATCTGGTAGAAATACGCTTACTCATATCATTTAAACTTTTACTCAGTTTGCTTCCAATATGCCCAGAAGCAGAGAAGAATTTCACAGGTACAATGCATTTTCACTACAGATTCAACAAAGCCTTACCCTAACACCAGAACCCAAGACCAAGGGTCAAGAAATTTACAAATTTGGAAAAGTTACCCTCATCATCATAACTATGGACTTCAAAGAATTAACACTTTTCCACTATATTATCAAAAGCCCCCCCCCCCCCCCTCGTTATGCCAGAAAATGACCCTAGGATCACAAGATTTAAAAATTCTGTTCGAAGCTCCCATTTTCATCATAGCTAAGCAATTTATTTATCAGCTCAACACTAAGGAGCAGACAGGATTAATTAATGATTAATAGAATTAATGCTTTTTCACTATATAATCAATAGAGCCCCCCCCCCCCCCCCCCCTCCTCAAGAACCCCAAAAACTGAGGCCATATATTTAAAAATTTTGGAAGAGGCATCCTTGTCTATCATAATCATGCACTTAGTTTGTTTATATAATCTCCAGTAGCAGAGAAGAAGATTTTCAAAGAATTAAAGCATTTTCACTATATAATCAATAGAGCCCTGCCCTAACACCAGAACCCCTGTCCCAGGGGCCATGGCTTTCACAATTCTGGAAGAGGCCCACCTCCTCATCTTAACTATGTACTTAGTTTATCACCTTAATGCCCAGGAGCAGAGGAGAAGATTTTCAAAGAATTAATGCTTTTTCACTATATAATCTATAGAGCCCCGCCCTAACACCAGAACCCCTGACCCTGGGGCCATGAATTTCAAAATTTTGGAAGAGGCACTCTTGCTCATCATAACTATGTACTTAGTTCCTTTATTTAATACCCAGGAGCAGAGAAGAAGATTTTCAAAGAATTAATGCTTTTTCACTATATAATCTATAGAGCCCCGCCCTAACACCAGAACCCCTGACCCTGGGGCCATGAATTTCACAATTTTGGAAGAGGCACTCTTGCTCATCATAACTATGTACTTAGTAACTTTATTTAATACCCAGGAGCAGAGAAGAAGATTTTCAAAGAAATAATGCACTTTCACTATATGATCTATATAGCCCCACCCTGGGGCCAGAACCCCTGACCCTGGGGCCATGAATTTCACAATTTTGGTAGAGGGCTCCATGCTTATTACAATGATGCCAACAGTTTGACTGCTTGATGTCCAGGAGTAAAGAAGAAGATTTTTAAAGATTGCATTAATTTTGGTGGTTTTAGCCCCACCCCTCAGGCCCCAGGGGGGCAGGGATCATGAAATTCACAATTTATGTTCCCCTTCACCCATAGATGCTATATACCAAATTTGGTTGAAATTGGTTGAGCGGTTTTAGAGAAGAAGTTAAAAATGTTCAAAAGTTAACGCACGACGACGGACGAAAACAGATAGCAATAGGTCACCTGAGTGACTCAGGTGACCTAATAATATTTATAATTTGTTATAACTTATCAATAATTGATCAATTTGTGAAGTGTCAGTTGCTGTTTAAACACCCTGCCGATCCCAACATGTCGTGTATTTCTTTAATGATATTAATTAAATTACCATTGAGTACTCTGAACTGACAACAAGGTGTATTTTACCCATCTATCATCTGGAGTTGTCAAATTATATTTTTAAATAAACATTCGTTTTATTTGTAAATTAAGTGTCAGTAATGACTCATTTTCTGTTCATGGTGACAATGCAAAATGACCTTGCGTCATATCTTGTCTGAAAAATCATCAATGTCTTTAATATATCAGGGATATTTCATGGCTTTTTTGTTATTTATTTTTTTCCCTATTGAAATGAAGCATATAAAGTTTTGTGATTAACCATATACAGAATATTACTAATGTTTTTTTTTAGTTGTATATGAATAGAATTTATTTTTAAAAAAGATGTCAGAAAAATGTGCATTTTGATACAATTAACCTGTCAATCGGTCGGAACGTCTTGTGGTTAAACGATTAGTAAATCTGTATTCGATTGCCATCCCTAGTTTTTATGATATGATTAATCATAGTTCTTCTGAAAGGTGTTGTCACAGGTAATGTACATGTACAAGAGGCCCAAGGGTCTTAACGGTCACCTGAGTACAATACAACAATTTAGAGGATCCATAAACTGATATTTGAAGCTTTGTTGCCCAAAAGCATGAAAAATAGTATGATTAGCATCAACAAAATAATTGGTTTAGTATCTATCTGTCCCAGATTTATCCCTATTACCATGCAGACTATTAACAAAATGTCTATTTTTTAAATCCATACTATTACTTCTCACATTGGCCTCTCTTGGCCTTTGAAGAACATTTAAAAAGATAAGTTATTTTTGTCTCATTTTCATTCATCTATTATTTCCAAGTCTACCTGATCATTAAAACTATGAAAGTACTTTTTGTATTATACTATAAACATTCTTGCATAATTCTCGTATTCTATTAACCTTTCAAATACATTGTTTACAGTGATTAAGGTGAATGGCAAAGGGGAATAACTTTGCTCAGCAGAATACAAGTTAACAGAGCCCTGGCCAGGACCAGAACACTTGACTAAATGGCCCAGGTGTTCAAAATTCTGGTAAAAATAACTTTGCATATTAAAACTTTTACTCTGTTTGCCTCGAATATGCCCAGAAGCATAGAAGATTTTCAAACAAATGCATTTTCACTATATTATTAAATAAATAAAGCCCCATCCTTACACCAGAACATCTGACCTCACAATTCTGGAAGAGGCACCCTAGCTCATCATAACTATACATTTGTTTCTTTGCTTTATAACCAGTAGTAGAAAAAAATATTTTGAAAGAAATTATGCATTTTCACTATATAATCAATAGAGTCCCCCCTCTTCACCAGAACCCCTGACCCAGGGGCCATGAATTTCACAATTTTGGAAGAGGCATTCTTCCTTATCATAACCATGCACTTCCTTTGTTTGAATAATACCCAGGAGCAGAGAAGAAGATTTTGAAAGAATTTATGCATTTTCACTATATAATAAATAGAGCCCTGCCCTGCCCTAACACCAGAACCCTTGACCCTGGGGCCATGAAATTCACAATTTCTGAGGAGGTAGCCATGCTCATCATAACTATGTACTTAGTTTATTTAATACCCAGGAGAAAGAAGATTTTCAAAGAATTAATGTATTTTCACTATATATATGAATAGAGCCCCACCCTAACACCAGAACCCCTGACCCAGGGGCCATGAAATTCACTATTTTGGAAGAGGCAACCATGCTCATCATAACTATGCACTAAGTTAGTTTATTTAATACCCAGGAGCAGAGAAGATTTCCAAAGAATTAATGCAATTTTACTACATAATCAATAGAACCCCGCCCTATCAAAAAGGCAGCCATGCTCACCATAACTATGTCCTTAGTTTATTTAATACCCAGGAGCAGAGAAGATTTTCAAAGAATTAATTCATTTTCACTATATAATCAATAGAGCCCTGCCCTAACACCAGAACCCCTGACCCTGAGGCCATGAAATTCACAATTTTGGAAGAGGCACACTTGCTCATCATAACCATGTACTTAGTTACTTTACTTAATACCCAGGAGTAGAGAAGAAGATTTTCAAAGAAATAATTCACTTTCACTATTTGATCTATGAGGGTTGTCCGTAAAGTTCGTGGACAAGCTAAAATTTAAATAAAAGTTGCGTCATAGATATTCATTATTAGCATATTTATAATCCTTTACTATATGTGAATTACAAAATGAAAAATTTTATTCAATTTTAAGTGTATAATTACAATTATGACTCCATTATTAGACTTGGGATGGTGACCCGGAGCACAACAAAGTTTTAATTAAAAAGTTATTTATCACTTTATATATTTCATTTGTTTTTTGTAAAATCCGCGGAAATTTGTATGGCTTTTACATTATAAGGTTGATAAAAGTTATAACGTCAAGCCTGTAAAATTTGAACGTTCAAAGTTTCGAAATGGCAGAGAAATAGAGGTCAGAGGTTATTAAGACAGGATCGTCATTGTTCGAAAAAGGGACGTTTTCGAAAAAGGTGGAGCAGAGAGTAGTGATAAAATTTTGTGTAGACATCGGGAAAACACCAACAGAGATCCATAAATTCCTTAAACAGTCGGGAAATCATGGTAAAGTAATCTATTCTTTAGTGTTTAAGTGGCACAGAAGATATTTGGACGGAAGAGACAGTTTACTAGATGACATGCGTGAAGGAAGACCATCTTTCCGAGATTGTAGTGCTGTAAAAAATGAAGTTCGTAACGTGACTTTGCCGTATTTCCGTACATGAAGTTGTTTTACGCGGACAGAGGTTTGATGATTTGCAGGATCTGAGATAGGAAGTGTCAGTGTTAAATATTATTTCACGTATGAAATCAGAACAGTTTGTGCACATTTTTGATAACTGGTTGAAGCGACATATGAAATGTGTTGAGTTAAACGGTGACTACGTTAAGAAAACTTAAATGTATTTAGCTTTTGACGTCGAGTAACGTCAAGGATTTTTGTTTTAGTGCTCCGGGTATGAGTGTGTATCTTTTTTGTATCTGATAAAATATAACTATTTGTGCTTTGTTTGTAATTAAAACTTGCATATTAATAAACTGAAACATGAATTTAATGAAAATAATAATTTCATGTATTTTATCAATGTTTGTCAGTAATTATAAATGTTGCCCATGAACTTTACGGACAACCCTCGTATATAGCCCCACCCTAGCACCAGAACCCCTGACCCTGGGGCCATGAATTTCACAATTTTGGTAGAGGGCTCAATGCTTATTACAATCATGCCAACAGTTTGATTGCTTGATGTCCAGGAGTAAAGAAGATTTTTAAAGATTGCATTAATTTTGGTGGTTTTAGCCCCACCCCTCAGGCCCCAGGGAGGCAGGGATCATGATATTCACAATTTTTGTTTCCCTTCACCCATAGATGCTCTATGCCAAATTTGGTTGAAACTGGTTAAGCGGTTTCAGAGAAGAAGCTAAAAATGTTCAAATGTTAACGCACATCGCACGACGATGGACGAAAACAGATAGCAATAAGTCACCCGAGTGACTCAGGTGACCTAAAAATATGAAAGCCCTCTCTACTCTCATTCAAAAGTTCTTAGAAATGTAAAAAATTTGAAGAAGACTGTAGGTTAAACTTTAAGGTCATGAGGTCAAAAACATTCAGAGAGGGTACTAAATATGAGCTGAGTTAGCTTGGAATTGTGTTCAGTTACAGTAAAACTTGATTACTGCAAAGTCCTGGATACCTGTTAATTTACTTCACTATATCCATAATTTATTATTAACCCGATTACAAATTTGCTAAAATATATAAAACAAATTCTTGGAAGATCTGGAGTACTAAAGTTTTGGGTGAATGGAATTTAAAATAAAAATACTTACACTAAACATTTTGAGTTCCGTTTTTTAAAAATTTGAGATCTTTGAAAATTCATTATATTTAGCCTCTATGAGACACAAAATCAGTTCCCTATGTCTGTGTATTTGCTATATTTGAGTTCATTATAAACTGTGTACAATTTTAGAAAGAATTGTTAAGAATTTCACAAGGGATTCAAAAAAACTTTGCTAAATCCATAAATTTGCTATATCCGTGTTCGTTACATAAAAGAGTTTTACTGTATTTTTTCCTGGAAAAACAACCTCACATACAGATAAATACTATTTGCTGGAAAAGCCCTAAGCAAATTAGTACTATAGCAATGACCATAAATTTACACCCCAATTTCTACACAGAGAGTGCAGAGATATATCCTTTATTTTGAAAGCACACATGTGGTTATTATGGTAATCTGTCATTAGAGTATCAACCTAACTGGAAGGAGAGATGTCAACAAGCAAACTTACTTTTTCAACAGATCTTGGCTGACAAAGCTCACACAGGTAATTCTCAACCTCTCCCTTGACCTTCATACAGTCACAATGCTGCCATATCTACATAATACGGCAAAATATACTTACAAATACAACGTTTATACTCTAAAAAAAAAAATAAATAAGAACCAAAACTTAAAATATGCAGAGTGTACAGGAGATACTCTTCAAAACTTAGGTACTGACAAAGCACTTTTCACACTGGATCATCAGACCCTCATCTCGAAAAATTCCACAAACGCATCGGATCACTTCTTCCTCTTCTTCTTCTTGTCCCTCTGTAATAGTTATAGAATTACTTTCACCTTTTTTTTATGGACACACACACTATCTGAGAAAATAATTTCAAAATTTATTTTCATTTCAACAGCCAAGAAATGTAATGATTGAGGACTTGCTCTCACCTATGGTCTCTGTCTCTGTTGTTTCCTTCTCCATGGACGGAAGACTTCCTTCTCCCAGAATATCTTCCAGAATGGGTGAAGCCTCAGCTTTGGCCGTGACATACACCTTACGAAGCTCTGCCACCAGCTGACCCATCCAGGAGGACCTACCGCTGTACCTCTGTATATATACAGATTACACAGTATTGAATTTTATCATCAGACATGATCAAACATGAGGACTTAACACTGTACCTCTGTATATCTAAATACAATCTCATGATCATCCATGAAGACCTACCACTGTACCTTTCTATATACAAATACAATCTTATCATTAAACATGATCATCCATGAAGATCTATCATGGTACCTTTGTATATACAAATTACAAAGTATTAAATCTTATCATCATCCATGTTCATCCATGAAGACCTACCAATGTTAGTCTGTATATCCGATCTTATCATCAGACACGATCATCCATGAAGACCTACCACTGTACCTCTGTATATCTAGATACAATCTTATCGTCAGACATGATCATCCATGAAGACCTACCACTGTACCTTTGTATATCTAAATACAATCTTATCATCAGACATGATCATCCATGAAGAACCACTGTACCTGTGTATATCTAAATACTAATTATCATCCATTAGGATCTACCACTGTACCTTTGTATATCAGACTCTGTGGTGTCTTTTGGGTTCACTTGACTATATAAGTTGATATGTGAATACAAGTAATTATTTTTAAATGACAAAATGTTGTCAATATTTCAAAATTTAATGGATCTTACCTCAGCATTTTTAAACAATGTATTCATGTCTTTATCAAAGGCTTCAAGATCCAAGTATGTCCCTGATAAGATATTTTTCTCAATGATATGGAAATCTATGGGGTTTTCTATAACTGTGTAATATTCTGGGTGTTTCTTCTTTGATGGCAGAGCAAAAGTAGAAACAGGGTCTCTTTCTTCCTTATCTGCAATGAAAATGTTTTGCAAACAATTTGTGGATTACTATTATACAGGAAGATTATTTCTTGAAACTTCATTTGTTTGAAGAATTCTTTTCAGAATAAAATATTAGGCAAAAATTTCAATAATAAACTTCAACTCAGCAAAATCATCTATTATCATTTCAAGTCTCTCATATCAAGTTTTATGACCATGATGACACATCTGTTATTAAGACAATTTAGTACTTCATCTTTCATTTTGTAATCCAACATTTTTAAGATTTCTCTTATTGAATGCTGAGAGTCCAATATTTAACCATATCAGCCCAATCAAACCAAGCACAACTGGGTCTCATTTTGTCACAGTAAAATATTGTAATACCAAGGGCAACCTAATAAAAGTTCCCAACAAAATCTATTAAAAGATCGTTTTGAAAGTTTGTTATCCGTGAATGAGGGTGCATTAAATTTTCTTCTTCCATTTCACCTCATATTTCCTAGTTAAAACCCTTTAATTTATTGATAACTTATCTTGTATATGTATATTTGCTGTTCAATTCTTTTTGATTTATTTCTCATGTAGTATTCTTATTTCGTAGCAAACTTCAACTATGTCATTCAACATTCCCTCCATTTTCTTTCACTTTCGCTTTAATGAGTGCTTGAATGCGTTTGGAAAAATTTCACTTGAAAACATTTAGGTATTCAACATGTTTTAAATTAATAGACAACAAAAAACATCGTTTTTATTTATTTTTTACTTAGATTTATTTTAAATAAAGAGAACAAACTTCAATTCACTCAAATCAGAGTTTCACGAAATTCAATTGCACAAGCTATATGTCACAGTTCAATTGGTAATTATTGATCTGTGCTCCTGTTGTCACCTTTTGAGTTAGCCCAAGACATTATCCAAGCTGTTAAAACTTTTTTAAAAATTTTGTCAAAAATAATATTTTGATACCCAAGCTTTCCTTTATTTAATCAATGGAGTTTAATGGCAAACATAATTACCCAGTGGGTTTAACATACATTAACTAAATGTTAAAAGCAACATTTTGTTTTAGAAATGTTTTATTTGGTAACCAATGTAAGAAAAAATGAAATAAATTTACAGAGATAAATAAACCTAGAATCTATAAACATGCACACTAATTGTTTATCAATGGTTTTGACACGGTTTCACTTCTATGGACCCAAATTGACTTGTCAAATTGTAATCAGTCAAGTGTCACTAATCACCTAACAGGCCTGGTAGTTTACCCACGGACACCGTCAGACCACAGGTGTTTCAATGTTTATTTAGGAGTTCCTTGAGTGTCTATTACCGATCAGCACTGAATAAACATGCAGTAAAATTTTTTTGGCCAAAATTTTTACATCGTGATACTGAGTCCAGGCATTTGTGGACATCATAATAAACAATACTAATTTGTAGAGATTTGTTAAGAAATGGTTTTGTGCTTTGAATTTACAACAAAATACAAGAGGCCCATGGGCCTTGAATCGCTCTTCTGATAAACTGTACAACCTATCACTTCTATATGAAGCCTCGAAGTATCCTGTATATTTAGATAAACCCTTGAAATTCCAATTCACACTCTGAGAACCCAAGATGATTCTAAGCCAATTGGTCATGGTGACCTACTTATCACTTGTCCTTCTCTGAGGACCCATCAACTAATTCTGATGATTCTAAGCCAATTAATACCTAAAATATTTTTTAAAATTATAACTATAAAATTTTATAAGTAGGTCAAAGTGACCTACTTTTCAATTGTTTTACTCCAAGGACCCAAGATGCATCAACTGACAAAGTTTGATGATTCTAGCCAATAAGTACCCAAAATATTTAATTACAGCCATAAATTTTCAAAAGTAGGTCACGGTGACCTACTTTTCAGTCGACCTACTCCGAGGACCAAAGATGCATCAACTGACAAATTTTGACGATTCTAAGCCAAATAATTCCTGAAAATATTAAATACAGCCATAAAATTTCAAAAGTAGGTCACCATGACCTACTTTTCAGTTGTTGTACTCCGAGGACCCATGACGCATAAACTGACAAAGTTTGATGATTCTAAGCCAATTAGTACCCGAAATATTTAATTAAAGCAATAAATTTTCCGAAAGTAGGTCACGGTGACCTACTTTTTAGTTGACCTACTCTGAAGACCCAAGATGCATCAACTGACAAAGTTTGATGATTCTAAGCCAATTAGTACCCGAAATATTTAATTAACGCCATAAATTTTCAAAAGTAGGTCACTGTGACTTACTTTTTAGTCGACCTACTCCGAAGACCCAAGATGCATCAACTGACAAAGTTTGATGATTCTAAGCCAATTAGTACCTGAAATATTTAATTATAGTCATATAAATTGAAAAGTAGGTCACTGTGACCTACTTTTTAATAAATATGTTTTATGGCCCCAAGATGCATCATCTTACAAGATTTAATGATTCTAAGCCTCCCCGTATTCGAATTAATGACCTTAATTGTTTTAAAAAAGATTAGCCATAAAATTCAAAAAGTAGGTCAAGGTGACCTACTATTTAGTTGACGTACTTTGAGGATCCAAGATGCATCAACTGACAAAGTTTGATGATCATAGGCCTTAAATTGTTCAATATGCCTCTAAATCATTTTGAAAAAGAATGGCCGCAAAATTTAAAAAGTAGGTCACCGTGACCTACTTTTGAGTCAACATGATATGAAGTCCTTAGATGCACCAACTGACAAGATTTGATGATCCTAGTCCTTATAGTAAGCAAAATATCAACATTTTAATAAAATGTAATTTTTGGTCAACTTTGAAGTGACCTTGAGACCACACCCTTTGCCCCAGGGTAAATCCCCGTTCAAATTTTTATCTACAACATATCCTCATCCTTTTGTGTAAGTTTGGTGATAATCTGCCCCGTGGTTCTAGAGAAGAAGATTTTTTAGCAACCAGTACTTTTGTTTCTATTTTCCTAATTATCTCCCCTTGTTTAAGGGTCACAACCCTAGTTTTAGTATAAAAGGGAGCCCTTGGGCCAAGGATACCCTGTGACAAATTTGACAATAATTGGCCAAGGGTTCTTGAGTTATGGCCCATATTCTAAAAAGTTTACGCACACCGCACAAATGGCCATAGCATTAGCTCTTTGAGCCTTTGGCTCAGAAGAGCTAAGAAGAGCCAATAAAACAGTCACCGTAATAATGAGACCTCACTGTATTGAAATGTTAACCCAAGATAAAAAAAAATTAGACAAATCAAACTTATTAAGATCTAAATGTGTTCAACGTTATGGAAATCCACCACCGTAGGATAAACCTTTGAAATAAGTGTTCCCCATTCCCTAAAACTTGTCAAATTCAAAGTCAAAATATCTAAGTTTAGAATTTTCCCAGATGCCCCTAGGTTTAAATTCAGACTGTAAATTCTCCATTCCCAAAATGTCTTCAATTTCGGTACTTGTACCATTGGCCAAATTTTTAACTTTCACTCTTCTACATATTTCAAAAATACATATTTTAAAAAAATGCCTCAATCATTTTCTGATTCCATACATATAGTGGCTGATAACACTACTCACTTTACAAACCTGACAAAAAGAATCACATGGGGCTCCTTGAAAGATACTCATTTGAGCCTTTTGTTTAATGGACTGGTATCATAGTTTTGGATTAAAACTTGAATGCTTTCAAATATGTTATACATGTACATTATTGATGAGGGGGAGAAATGACAATAGGGGAAAATGTTTTAAGAAGTTCATTCTAGAAATACTGGAATGGCTTTGGCAATAGGCAATGAAATCAGTTCAATATTTATTTTGAATGAGCTGTTTTCAGCTTATTCTCTTCAAAAAAAAAAAAAAAAAAAAAAAGTAACAGAGTACCTCCTACAAACATTTGACCTAATGTGCACATATTTTTTGCTTAAAAATGCTAATACCTTTGTATTCCATGACCTGTCGACACACACTGTTAAAAACTTGTGCAAGTCTAGCAGTCTGTGTCACCTCTGTGTTTTCTTCTGCCAATGCAAGTCGTCTGAAATTATACAAAACATCAACCTTTGTCAATCTAAGGAACATATACAGCATATTTACAAATGCACATCAGTACAATCTTTTCTGATTTTGCACTCATTTGTGCACTTTTAACCTTCCTATGCTGCCAATGTTTGACAATGTACCTTGTTTTTACAGATCTGGATGTTTTGAGGGCAGTCAGTTGAGACATAAAGACATCTTTCTTGGTATACCCTGTAGCTTTCATATACTCTCCTTCTTTGTTCAGCTTTTCTGGTGCTTTACGACTAATGTGTCTTTGTTTATCAATATTCCGCAAAAGGAAGATGGCATGAGATCTGGCAAAGTGACGTTCCTTTTGCGACATAGGTTTCATGGTGGACAATGTTGAGGAGGCACTGCTGTCTTTTGAGGACTTCTGAAAAATGATTAAAGTAATATAATTAAGATTCAAATAAACCTATCTGGTAGATAGGGGAGGACTACCTAAGTTTTTGGAACTTGTGTCCAATCCATTCGACATATTGTCAATAAAATATGTTCAAAACAAATAGAATTCAACCCAATATTCTGGAGTATGGTCTTATTCAACAAAGCATTTATGACAATTACCAGTAAAAGCTTTTAAGGACAATGAAAAAAAAGTGTTCTGAATGCACAACACTTTGTCTTTTGTTATGTCAACTAAACCTTTTCTTTGTATTTCTTCAGTCGGTTCTTGGATTTCCGTTTATCCTTGGGTGGTCTGCCTGGACCTTTGGATTTCACTTGACCATTCACTCTCTGGGTTTTACCTCCAATCACTCCTCGACAATTCTCACTTCCACACTGGCACAGTTGCTGTTGACATTAATGTTTAAATATTCATAACACATTTTAACAAAACCTCTGAAGGAAAACCATTTTAGCAAAAATACTCTCACTGTAGAATTGTCTGATATTAAGTTCGGTCAATAACTACAAATAATTTTAGTTGTAACACGTCATTTGATTGGATAAAAGATTTCGTTTACATCGTATAACATAAGTTGCCTACGTCCGAGTTACGTCAAAAAGGTATTACTCCGCTTGACGTTACTTCTAAAATATGCTCAATTTGAAGCCATTTTTGGAGGAAAAATTGTCTACACTGAAATTAAATTATAAGGAATGAAGCTTATTTTAACCTATGTTATACGATATAACATAACTTGGGACAGTTTCGCTGTTTATAAAGTGTAAACTGCCTAAGTTATGTTATATCGTATAACATAGGTTAAAATAAGCTTCATTCCTTAAATAAATAATCATACCTGAGCATCTACATTGAAGGAGTGGAAGTTATAGTCATATGTGAGTTCTGTGTTTGGTGAAATGTCCTTCAGAGCAAACAGTCCCATTCTGTACACTCCATTCACATTCCTGCAGCGAGATAAAATCTTTTATACAATAAGCTTCAGATTTACTGCAATAAAAAAATCTCCTTCCTTAATACATAAGGATAACTGTTCCCCTTTTGGAGTCCCATTTAAACAATGTACAAAACATAGAGTCTTTGATGTTTCCATGAAATTATAGCTGCAGACCTGTTGCTTGCTGTTCTGAAAAAAAAAAATGGGATGGACGACCAGAGAGCTACAGTGCCATCCACAGAAAAAAACTGTATATTTATTGCGCACTAAAAGTTGCGCTAGGTTCTGGATAATTTTCTCCAAATTCTTACTTCAACTGCAAAAAGCTGATTTCAAAAAATTTCTTACACCTCTATCAAGTTATCAACTATACTCTCTAAGTTGACATTTGCATGAATTGCATTGGACCAAATTACCTTGCCACCAAAATGGCAGTATACTGTAAGTTGTTTTAATTCCACGGTGTTAAAATTTCACCATTTCTCAAAAAGTACCAATCGCGATGGTTTTAATTTCATGCTGCAAGAAATTAATTTAAATTTCCTATAAGCATTTAAACGTTTTTAAAAACTAATGATAGCATTCACTATGGGTTTAATTTCGCAGAAAATGATGAATCGCAAACATAGTGAAATTAAAACCATCATGATTATTTGCCAATCTACAGTAAAATCTTTGATGATCTCATTTTCACTCCCAGGAGAGCTACTAACAATGGTTATAAAGAATGTTTTGTTGTGGAAAAAGTGAAAAAATATGTTAGGAACATTTTGAGACGGTGTTTGAAAAACTTGAGAAATAAATCGAGAAACAGCTCACTTTTTGTGCGCAATAAATATACACTTTTACAATGGGTGGCACTGTAGCTCTCCGGTCTGTCAATATATTTTTTTACGGAGAGCTACAGTTCTGCAGTTAATGAAATTATAGACACCAGTTCTCAATTATTATTACCATTTCTGCATCTCGCAGTTAGGTTCACATGAATGGTTAACATATCGACCAATGTTTCCCATCCTGTAGCCATCGATGACGGCTCCACTGTCAAGATTCAGACAGTAGTGGTGTCTCTCCTGGGAGTATTCCTCTGTCATCCTCCGCCGAAACTCCACCTCACTAACAACCTCACCCAGGTACTCCAAAATAAACTGACCTGTGTGTAAAAAAGGAACTAATCAATGCACAAGATCAGAGGACAAACAAGCAACTTTCAATTAATTATGCAGAATTCTGTAGAAGCAGAAATTTTCATGGGGATAAAATTTCGTTGAATTGTCTTCTAAAATGGTTTCGTGGGCATTTAATTTAGTTCTTTTGAAGTCATTCTACTGAATATATAGTCATATAAAAATTTTGTATGAGAAATTGGGTTGATAACTGTTAACAAGGAAATAATTGAAATTTAATCCCCAACGAATATTTCTTGTTTAACAGTATGTGTGTATGAAAACCCAGTGTTTACATCAATTTACAAACTTTTCAATTAAACTTTCGTCACTCGGAGATTGACTTTAAGTTTTAGGTCTTTATTTTCCATGGTATTCAAGTTAAAGGGATTAACAATTGTTATTTTGACTGGAAAGATACTTAGATCACATAGAATGACAAATATGTCCATCACTAGGAACTTCTGGGTAAGACAAAAAAACTACGCAATTTGTTGAAAATTTTAATTTTTCAACATTTTGAATGTCTATATAAATTTTTATAATCTGTACTTAAATATAGCCTCCAATGAAAACCTAGAATTAGAGTAATTACCACTAGATATAGATTCCGATGTTTTGACACCATATCCTCTATCTTTTGTGACTATGACATCCAAGTCTGACACCCATTCATGTTTTTGGAATCGCTGATTAAGACACTGGTCCTGACAAGGACAGGTACTTATGTCACACTCTGTATACATCATTCTGTAATAGGAGAAAAAAAAACCAAATCCATCAATCATTATACAACAGTGCCAACATAATCATGAACTTTGGAGCAAACATTCAAGGTCATTTAAATTAATTTACAGAAATGAATTAATTGGTAATGTATTCACAAGTAAATAAAATTGACTCTTTATAACAATGTAATGCATTTTAATATACAGTGGCTTCCATTTTATTGGATAGCGGTTAAACGAATATTTCAGCTATTTCAATATAATATCAGAGCACAAAACCATTTCTTATATATTTATTAATAATTTCACCTGATATTCTGATGAGAAAATATTGGAATTTCGTTTTATCTGATACAAAAATTTGGACCATCATGGTGTTTGTTGATAATCAGCACCTTGTTCACACCTCCAACTTCGTATGTGAAGCCTTTGTTTACACAGTTTGACACCAATTACCTTGACTGGCTTGAGTACGACAATGAGGGGATTAGTTACGGCTGGACACACACAGGCACCTTACCTGTGTCATTCTCAATAGTGGGCATAGTAGATAGATATGTTTTGATTACAGTTGTGGTGATCAGCTTGGGTTCAATGATGCACTTGTTAATTATGGCAATTATTTGCAATTTTTTCGGCTTGAAATTTTAATTATTGAACTGATTAGCTTGTGTATGACAATTTGCTTGGATAATGAAATAAGCCTATTCAGTCGTTTAACTTGGTCATTTGGCTTAATATTTGTTCACTTTTAAGTGCAAAACTTATGGTTAAAATCAGAAATGGCCCATAGTATAAACATACGTCTCAAAATCCATACCATCTTTCTCCACATGGCAGACAAGTATGCATGAGACTGGTAAACTCATTGAACAGAGAATAGTCAGGATAAAATATGTAACCATATTAAAGAAACAAATAAAAACAAAAAAGTTACATTTATAAATTTTTTTTTTATATTTTTGTTGATTTTTAATTTACAATCTATTCAGGGAAAAATATTTTATGGTTATTAGTCAAGCATTTAGTCTACTTCCGTTTCCAAAATGGCGACCATCGAAGAAGGAATGTAAACATGTGCTGAATTAAGATGGCAATAACTATTAAAGAATATATTTTATACATCAATTTATTTGAAAAATGTTATCATATTAAATTCATAAGTAAGTGAAATAATTTATTTTAGGAAATTCACTCAGTAAACTAATCAAACGAAAGTGCAAGTTTGAAATTTGCTACGATGTATTATCAATACATGTAGCTCTATACATCCATCTTTGGACTCGGTATGGAGCAATCGGCTATTCTAATAATCGGCTATTCTGATAAAATTAGACTGACCACTTCACTATTGGATAAAATGGGAGCCACTGTACCAACAATTTAACCCCACCTTGTGTCCTGGAAGCTTGGGGATATGAATTGAGTTAGAGGCTCATTGCTATTATAATCAGGCAAGCAAAATAAAATGTTCCAGATTTAAGAAGACTTCATATAAATATATATGTAATGCATTGCATATGAATGACCAACTTAGTCCAACCACAGGGCCTAAATCCTGAACCCAGGGGTCATTATTTCATAATTTGAGTAAAGGGGTCATTGCTTATTACAATCATGTTAACAGTTTGACTGCTTTATGTTAAGGAGTAAAGAAAAAATTTTGACAATTGCACTAACTTTAAAAGTTTTGGCCACACCTGGGAGACAGAGACCAAAACTGAAATTTGTGATTTTAATCCCCTTTATCCATAGATGCTACATATCAAAATTGGGAACAAGAGGCCCATGGGCCACATCGCTCACCTGAGCACACTGGCGAGGAAAAAAAGCAAAAATCAGTTCAGTATTGAAAAGTTAACGGGGGAGAGAGAGGGGGGGGGGGGGGATGGGGGATTTTAAACTTCCAATGCTTTCATATCAATATAACAAATAACTTTGCTGTTCTTGAGCAGAAGATTTTTTCCCATATATTCATTTGTAAAAATTTGATCCCCAATTGTGGCCCCACCCTACCCCCGGGGGTGCTCATTTGAACAATCATTTGAACGATGCTTCCATATCAATTTGACGAATCATGGCTTTTCTGTTCTTGAGAGAAAGATTTTTTCCTATATATTCCTCTGTAAACTTTGATCACCCATTGTGGCCCCATCCTACCTCCAGGGGTCATGATTTGAACAAACTTGAATCTACACTACCTGAGGATGCTTCCATATAAATATGATCAATCATGTCTTTGCTTATCTTGAGAAGAAGATTTTTAAAGTTTTTTTCTATATACTCTTACGAAAAACTTTGACCCACCATTGTGGCCCCACCCTACCCCCAGGGGTCATGATTTGAACAAACTTGAATCTACACTACCTGAAGATGCTTTCATATAAATATGACCAATCATGGCTTTGCTGTTCTTAAGAAGAAGATTTTTCCTATATATTTCTATGTCAAACTTTGATCCCCAATTGTGGCCCCACCCTACCCCTGGGGGTCATGATTGAACAAACTTGAATCTACACTACCTGAGGATGCTTCTACATAAATATGACCAATCATGGCTTTGCTGTTCTTAAGAAGAAGATTTTTAAAGATATTTTCCTATATATTTCTATGTAAAACTTTGATCCCCCATTGTGACCCCACCCTACCCCTGAGGGTCATGATTTGAACAAACTTAAATCTACACTACTTGTGGATGCTTTCATATAAATATGACCAATCATGGCTTTGCTGTTCTTAAGAAGAAGATTTTTAAAGATATTTTCCTATATATTTCTATGTAAAACTTTGATCCCCCATTGTGGCCTCACCCTACCCCCGGGGGTCATGATTTGAACAAACTTGAATCTACACTACCTGAGGATATATTATTCTTCCATATAAATATGACCAATCTTGGCTTTGCTGTTCTTAAGAAGAAGATTTTTAAAGATATTTTCCTATATATTTCTATGTCAAACTTTGATCCCCCATTGTGGCCCCACCCTACCCCTGGGGGTCATGATTTGAACAAACTTGAATCTACACTACCTAAGGATGCTTCCATATAAATATGACCAATCATGGCTTTGCTGTTCTTAAGAAGAAGATTTTTAAAGATATTTTCCTATATATTTCTATGTCAAACTTTGATCCCCCATTGTGGCCCCACCCTACCCCTGAGGGTCATGATTTGAACAAACTTGAATCTACACTACCTGAGGATGCTTTCATATAAATATGACCAATCATGGCTTTGCTGTTCTTAAGAAGAAGATTTTTAAAGATATTTTCCTACATATTTCTATGTAAAACTTTGATCCCCCATTGTGGCCTCACCCTACCCCCGGGGGTCATGATTTGAACAAACTTGAATCTACACTACCTGAGGATGCTTCCATATAAATATGACCAATCTTGGCTTTGCTGTTCTTAAGAAGAAGATTTTTAAAGATATTTTCCTATATATTTCTATGTCAAACTTTGATCCCCCATTGTGGCCCCACCCTACCCCCGGGGGTCATGAATTGAAGAAACTTGAATCTACACTACCTGAGGATGCTTTCATATAAATATGACCAATCATGGCTTTGCTGTTCTTAAGAAGAAGATTTTTAAAGATATTTTCCTATATATTTCTATGTAAAACTTTGATCCCCCATTGTGGCCCCATCCTACCCCCGGGGGTCATGAATTGAACAAACTTGAATCTACACTACCTGAGGATGTTTCCACATAAGTTTCATCTTTCCTGGCCCAGTGGTTCTTGAGAAGAAGATTTTTAAATGATGTCATTATTTTTTCACTAATTCCTAATTATCTCCCCTTGAAAGAGGGCGTGGCCCTTCATTTGAACAAACTTGAATCCCCTTCACCCAAGGATACTTTGTGGCAAGTTTGGTTGAATTTGGCCCAGTGGTTCTTGAGAAGAAGATGAAAATGTGAAAAGTTTACAACAACAATGCCAACGACAACGCCGACAACGACAACAACGACGACAGACAACGGACAAATTTTGATCAGAAAAGCTCACTTGAGCCTTTGGCTCAGGTGAGCTAAAAAGCTGGAAAAGACTTATTGTAAGACAATGGACCAAAACAGATAGCTGACTCAGGTAACCTGATTAAAACTGCACCTGTGCTGTATAAGTTCACATACCTGTTTAGACATTCCTCACCACAACCTTTTAACTCTGGGTCATAAGGTCGTTTACAAGTACACGGATGTGCTTCATCACAGACTGGCTTGACATCAACATGAATATCTGTAACACAACAAAAGTCTAAGCATTTGTATGAGGAAATTTGCAATACTTGGAAAATACTGTAAAACAACTTTTGTTCTCATCTGAGAAATATCTGTGGGTTTTGCGTCCTTCTTTAACTTGCGAATATATATTGCCATAAACTATTCATTTCCTTACGCATTTATGTAGAATAATTCCTCAGTCATGAAAATTAGCTGTTATATTCCAAGCTGGTATTCAATGCAAATAGCCTTTATGATGAAAAATGCCCCCCCCCCCCCCATCTGTTGAGACTGAATTTCCAAGTTTTTGAAAAAAAAAAAAAAAAAAAATTTGTACAGTAACCCACAAAATCTATTAATACTAGGGATGTCAAATCGGTTAATTTTTGATTATCGGTTACTCGGACATTTTTCTGATCGAGTACCTAGGTACTCGGTAAAAATGTAAATTAATACAAGTTTGTTTATTTTTAATTGTTAATTTATTAAACCCCAAACCTGTGTTTATCACGTTTTATGAATGTATATAAACATGGAGTCCAACGGAAATGATTTTTGGTACTAAATAAATACAAAAGACAATTAATACATCAAAAATTACAAATGGTTTACAGTTCTTGTTTAGGATCTATTTCATCAACGCAAAAGGAGGACAATCTGTTACGCAGGTTTGTGATGATTAGACTGACGAAAGAGAAGAAACGGACATTGTTTGGATCACTAGTCTAATATTTTTTCATATGTTGGTTGTTTTCCCCGTATACACTAAACTTACTATGGAAACTGACTTTAAACTTTTTTTGGGAATCTTTACTTATTTTGAAGTGGGTAGAGGCACTTCTATGCATGTCCAATTTCGCTGCCGTATATTAACTATAATTTTAAAATGATTTGAAGACAATAGATCATATTAAACGATTGATGTTCAGTGAAAAACAATCATTGAAGCCATCAAAAAATAAAGGACCGTGACCACAATAGGTGTGAACAGCTGCGTACCAGGTGATTGGTCACTAATTACTGTATATACACAGCCATAGGCGATAACGGTGTTTACATGTGTAGATGACGACACGCTAATTACCCGTATGCAAATTTAAGTTATTTTTTGATATGTTTTTGATAATAATATGTACTTTGAAATAAGAAAAAATACACATCCGAGTAACCGAGTACCATTTTTAGTATTCGATACTCGGACGTTCGATCGAGTACCCGGTTAACCAGGTACTCGATGACATCCCTAATTAATACCATTTTTTTGGTCATGTGGATGGCTTTTAAAAATTATTTACATCAAATTTGCAATAGTGGTTCCTTTTATCCAGGGGTCACCAGACTAATGCTGTCATTTTCCTTTCCTCCAATTGAAATATCCCATTAATTTAACTCCATTTACAAATCACCTGTCACCTCAACAGTCATCAAATTCCATGCAACATAAGCATTTTGGCAATCACATGACCTACATTTGGAGATTTATTGTAATCAGGTGATTTCCAAATGTCTTGATACTAATGTGAACAATCAGTAGAGCATGGATAGATCCAGAGAAAAATAAGCTTAATTATATCAATTTCAAATGGTTGGATAAGAAGATAAATTATTGAACAAACCAGCTTTTAATAAGTTGTTTTTAAACATAGCAAGGATGCTCATTTTCATTACAATGGCCTAAACAATTCGTAGGAAAACATTATAAGAGTCATGGAACTTAAACTTATGGAATCTGGTGCCTGTGACGCCTTTGAAAGAAAACTTCCAGTGCCTGTGACGCCTTTGAAAGAAAACTTCCAGACAACTAAATGTCATGAAAATATGTTCATATATTCAATGAAAACAAAATTATTAATCCTGATAAAATCACATGCAAAAGAATATGACACACACTTTTGTCTAACTACAGAACAATACTGGACCACAGGGCACTAATAGCACAAGTTTTCACTGCAACACTCTCATCTTTCACAAAATGTGATGCAATGCATGTCTTTCATTGAAATAACGATCTAATATCCTCTTCTGTTACAAGGCATTCAATTTTAAGCTTTGGCAAATGGCCTTTTGTTTTTTTCTGTCATCTCAAGCCAGTTATGAAGAATATCAATGGCCCGTAGAGCTTCTGCCGTGGATGGTCTTGAGGGTGGTGGGTCTTCTTCATGTTTACTGTCTGCTTCTTTGCTTGATGATGGCATTCACAATGGCTACATAAGTCAGGGTTTCTGATGAAGTGATATCCTTGTTGTCTTGGACATAGTCATGAAAAGGAGTCTGAAGATGGAAGGTGGCCAGAGGGATGTCATCATCAGGATCTTCCTCGTCAATCTCTGCTGCTGTGGGATTGTTTTCAGTGACCACTGTCAAATCAGCATGGCGAAAACAGTTGGCAATTGTTGTCTGACTTTAGCCCATGCTTTGTTCAGCAGATGCAAGGCTTTAAGCGTATTAATAGGAAGTTCAGTTTTCTTTTCAATAGCCTTGAGCTACTACTGAAGAACCTCCTTCCAGTAGTGAGCCTTTAATTTCTTAATAACCCCCTTGTCTATGGTAGGGCTGGGACGATATATCGAGGTATCGATAATATCGATTCAACGTGAGGATGATATGCATATCGATACGTATGAAGAAATAGCGCAAAAAAATTCTGACTTATGTTTTTCTTTGTTAACTTCACATTTTGGGTTAAATATATATAAATATGGTAAATATTATATGAAATACATAATAATTAACACCACTTGTGTAAAATTATCTTCTTTTACAACAGGTACAACTTATTCTTATTTGTAGAGAAATGTTTTGTTCATTTCAATACAAAAAAAGACATTTTATAACCAATTCAACATATCATGATACATATTGTATCGTGGCTCAAATATCGTGATACATATCAATATAGAAAAAGTTGTATCGTCCCAGCCCTAGTCTATCGGCTGGGTTTTGCTAGTTGTATTTGGTGATAAGAACACAAGGTAAACTGCCTTAAGACCTGCTACTCTGGGATGCGCAGAACAGTTGCCTATCACCAAGGCTACTTTAATTTTTTGGTGTCAAAATTTTCTGACTAGATATATCTAACCTAATTTGAGAAAATCTCAAGACGTCCAGACGTCTAAGACTTCAGGCTTTTTTATTTGCCTTGTATAGAGCAAAGAATGTTTTGACATTTTTGAAACACCTGGGATTTTTAGCCTAGACAATGACAAGAAGAAGCATCTTTACCGTTTCTGTCATGCTACTGATGAGGAACAAGAAGTCTGTCTTTACTGCATTTCCAACCATTGCAGTCAACACCTTTAAAATCTAAGGTTTGGTTTGGCACAAGGTGAAAGAATAACCCTTTTTCATCTGTTTAAAGATGTCCCTAGGGTTATAATCGCTGAGTAGTTTTGAGATTTGCTGCATACTTTTTTTTATAAGTGATGTCATAACGAACTTTAAATCTGTCTTTAATAATCTGACTTATATGTTGTATCACCCAGCTGCGATGCAAACTCTTTTGCCTTTGTCTGAAGCAAGGTGTCTGATCCACAAATTTCTGTCTCTGGCCGACTTAAACCACTGCATTGCTTCCTCAGTGTTCTTGTAAATGGTTAGGCTCTCTTTCTTTATGCCAAGTCCAAATAGTACTCTTAGTTTCAATAGCCTCTCTCATCTTTGCTGCATTTTTCAACCATGTTGACAGGGTGTTAAGTGGAATTTGAACTTCTTTGCTATTGCCAAAACTCTTTGCCTTGATCGAGATTTCAGGAATTTCATTTCAATGCTGTGTACTTTTAATTTTCTTTTAACACCAACAGCAGATAATCTAAATACATCCCTGGGTTGTGTACTGGGGCCTAATTCATTAGATTGCTTATCTGCCATAATGGTATGTACTGATGATTGTAAATTGTGCACATTCTTATATAAGAAAAATAAATTCTAATTGTATTGTAGATTTTTGTTTTACTTTGTTTTTTCTTCTATATAAATTAAAATATTCTCCATGCTAATTTTGAATAAAGAAAAAAGGGTATTCTTGAATTGATGCTGGCATGTTTGTATGAGCACCGATTTTTGCAGTACTGATTTTGAAGATTTTTAAAAAAATGTTTTAGTATGCAGGTGATCTTAATGGCTCAAACTTTTGATCTCTCAAAGTTCTTGATCACTCAAGTCCTGATTTTTTTCTCCTATATAACTGAGCAAAGAGATAGGTTCACAAACTCCATAAAATGGCCCTGTCCATAAACCAATGAACTGACCAAGTTGTAATGTCCCATTTAGAACATCAAAATAAAGTAGAGACTTAGCGCTTTCATTTCCAATAAAAAAATTTCCCCTGAGAGTCCAAGTACTGTTAAACAGACTTTGTGAAACTGCAATGTTCTTGAATTTTGAGGAAAATGAGTGAATTTGAGCATCTTAAACTAATAATTAAAATATAAGCCCACCCTGCGATCCAAAAAAAATTTCATGGATAAGAATCTTCTGAAACAGTTTTTTCATTATATATTTAAACATTTCAGATCAGAGGTTGGAGGCTATGTAAAATATTCAAAAACAGCTTACTTTTTTAGCCATTTTTGAAGAAATTTTCAAGATTTTAGGAAAATGACACAATTCATGACATCATAATACACGGACTAGAGAGAAAATTACATCATTTTTAATTGATACGCAGTCACCAAGGGTTCAAGTGAAATTTAACATATTTTCAACTAAAACCGAGTTCTTATTTTTCAGAAATTCACAGGGCCAAAAAAGACCCTAAGTAAACCTTGTTCTTTACTCTTGATTTCTCTAACTCTCAGGCTCTTGATACCCTTGATCTCTTGAAGTCATAATGCAGTCCCTAATGTATATTCTATTGTAATTTACCCTAGATACCTCAAGTGGCAATATGTATGCAAGCTTGACCTAATTTGCACCTTTACCTGGACATTTAAAGGGCTCCAGGTGTGGACACTCAACTTGAGTATCGTCATGTTTATTTAAGTCACTGCAAGGAACAATACATATCAAGCAATTTTT